TTCACTACTAAACACTAGAATCTACTATATTCATGAGAGTCATAGTTCATAAAACTCAATCCAAAAAAAACCTTGGATGATGAGAAATCATCTCTTTAAGCTCTTTAGAATATTAGTTGTGAATGTGATTAACGGAGAAATGAAAAAGAGGAAAATTTAAAAGAGGCGTGATGGAAACAAAGGCATGCGTGTTATTTACTTAGTCCCATTATAACTCACAAGTAACTTTACTGTTGTTGGAAGAAACCTTATGTTATGTCCCAAGCAAAACTGGTGATAATGATTTTTTTTCTAAGAGAAAAAAGGAAATAATTAAGTATAATTGCATTTGATGATTAGAACATTTTATTGGTCCAAAAGGAAACTAAACATGTGAAAGTGCTCTACATTTTTTGTCTCGTGGACACAAAGTTGAAGCTGTTATCCCACTTCACTAAGTGAAATCCCATAATCTATGCCCCACTTTTTCGATATATTAATTTTTTTTTTAACACTGAATTTTTCTTTTTCATAGAATCAACCCACACTATTGTTTACCGAAATGTATTAATGGATAAAAAAAAAACGAAATCATTCCATGCACATAAATAGAGGTTATAATAATGAATCAACAACCAAAAAATTATAAAAAGAAAACAGAAAAACACGACTAAATCTGAATAAAAAACATAACACAATTCAATAGAATTTGGAAGATAATAGGGCACCAAATCTACGTCATCGTCTTCATTGCTCGTCGTCTTCATTGCGTGAATACCTGTTTGAAGATATAAAACCATCTTGAAGAATTTCATTTATTCGATCAACATCCGCAAGGATTTCGTCTTCTTTTGTACTTTTAACCGTTTCCAAAACAACTAGATATACTGCAAAAAAAATCTCACAAAGTAGAGAAAACGAATACTAGAATCATCACCTTTCCGGATCGAGGTCATCAATCTTTTCACCAACTTAACGTCAACTAATAGAGAAAAATACCCACCGTAGAAAAAAAGAAGCGCAAAAATCACATAGGATCTTCGATTTGTAACTAACATAACCATATGAAAACAAACTAACAAAAACACAACTCCGGTACTATGAAAATTATCGGAGTTGTCAACCGAAAAATCTCTCTTTTCTCTCTCTCAAACGATGGCTATGGTTAAGTTTCAATAATGCGTAAATTCCAAAAAGTAGAAAAGATTTAGTTTTGAAATGGGGATAATTAATGTTATCCAAATAATTGATATTAAAATTTGTTAGCCATGACTCCATGACAATAACACACCCATATTTTTGCATTTTATAGCTAGCTCGACTCTTACGACAATAAATTTCAGTTTTTTCTCCTTATTTTTCTACATCTTTGTATATATATTTAATCGACAACATAAATATATTCTATACGAAGGAGAATATATACTTCTATCTAAATTTATTTTACAATCGTTAGGTTGTGATACATCTAAATTTTG